AATCACGTAAATTAAAATATAATTTTATGTATATGTACGAAAGTCAACATTATATAAACAGTATGTGCATTTCTTTACATAGAGTTTATGAAGAGCGACGTAACAAATGACTTATTTAATTACTAATTATGTAATGAGTTAATGTATTTGTAATTCATATGTATAGTACAGGTTCGGGTATTGCAGATGGTTCAGAGAGTACAGACGAAAATACAATAAATGGACCAGTCCTAGCTATGACAATACCGTCTCAACAATCAGAAGTGTTAGAATCTTCTATTTCTATAACAGTTGAGCATCATTACGTAAGTATTCATAAAGGAGTTTGTATGATTATATAAGAACCTATAAATCGATTTGCTCCCTCATAAGAGTCATTCTCTTTGGAAAGGTAAAACAAAACAAAACATACATACCTGTTAATCACAAATCGTAACATATTTAGAGGTTTTGGATTTTTAATGGATTTTAAAATTGATTTGCTAGGTACTCTTATATATCTATGTAATAGAAAGAGCATAGAAACACGAGGCTATCTGATTTGTACCCGAGTGTAAATCAGATTGTCGAGTGTTTTGATGTTCTTTCTGTTTTGTATCATCATAGGCAAAATTAAAAACACGTTCCCTGTCTTCACAACATAAACCCCAGAAAAAAGTAACAAATATACGAGCATTCGAATATGACTTCTATCGTTATCTCTTTCCCTGTCGTCAAAATAAGTAAACCCCAGAAAAAATGAGCCAATCAACGAGCATGCTCTAGACATACAGTGATTCCAGGTAACTTATTCCTGCACTCCATTAAACTGTCTGTGCAAGTCTCCAAACTAAGATACAACTAGTATTAATGTGCTGTCATATTGATATTTCAGAGCGGTCTATCGGCTCCACTCTGTGTGTTTTGGCAGTACACGAGGTATGAAATAATCCAGATAGAGTATACATTTGAATTGTTTGTAGAGATAAAAATTATATTTATGAAAGAAAATGTAGTATACAACATTTAAAATCAAATATTCAACCTTATTCTTTAATGGAATGGTTAAACTTTGCATAGGAAAGAGAAATATGCATGTATATTTTTATCAGTGAATCCCAGGGTCTTTGGTCAGACGATGGATGTGCGCTTGTTACAACTAGCAATGACGTTACAGTATGTGAGTGCTCGCATCTGACAAATTTTGCTGTGTTGATGAGCCCTATCAAACAGGTAAAATACTACAAATATACAAGTATTACTTACAATACACAAGTCAGAGTAATCACTTATGCAACAATCGTTTTTATTTAGCTATAATTAATCGATTTAAAATTGAAAGATTTTCAATGTTTTTAGTTACATTTTTACATTTTGATTATAAGTTTTAAGTGTTTCGAATTGTTGATAGTAAGAGAAAACAAACACTATCATCGGAGTCAAAAAGAGTGATATTCAGGCTAAACAGGATCAATCAAACCGAGCCTGCAACATGTTCGGTTTTTACCATTTGGGTCTTTCTTATGTGATTGCGTTTTTTCTCTATCTTAATTGCATTTCATAATTTGTTTTCATCTAACTTGTCAGTCTGGCGTTACTGTCAGTCATATAGATTATGTATAAATTTCTTTATAATTAGTTTGTATATGTCTTAAAAACAATTCAAAGCAATTTTGATCTGCAAGTATGTCATTACCAGATATAGAAATGAGTTTTTAATATTTCAGAAGGATCAATCAGCTTGGGATCTTCGCATTATTTCAATTGTCTGCCTATCTTTATCCATACTTTGTTTGGTGGCAACTATTGTTGTACACGTTACGTTCTGGAAGTAAGTGTATTTTTGTGACACTTTCTGATCATTGCGATGAGGGTAAGAAAATATGCAAATCAGTATTAGGGGCATGAAATGTTGCTGCGTATTCATGATCTCTTATGAATGGACTCCATTTATCTAGGTTTTGCAAATTCATCTATTCTTTGTCATTGATTTTTGTTTCTTTTAATTCATTGCTATCATGGAAAAACTTTTCTAAAATGTTTACATACACAACAGCAGATCTTAAGTGTATGGCTGCGACTGTAAAACTTTCACGTCTCATCTCCGTGTTGTTATTTGTCGGTTCTTCTGGATTATTGAGTCCAATACAACTAGCGTTGAGTGTTGAATCTGCTTTATTCGGTGCTCCAGTTGAGTTGTGACAGATATTTCTTTTCCCAAAAACTTTTAGGTACAGAATGAATATAACCAATTCTACAACTTTTTTCCGTTTTTTCCCATTCCAGAATTGTTACAGTTTTATAAATATAATATAAATAAATATATAAAGTCACTCATTAGTATTGTATTTTGATTGATCATTTGAATGAACATGTAGTTAATTGGTTTGCCAAGTAAATAAGCTTCTTTAGTCTGGCATAATAAGGAATAAATATAATGCAAAGTTACTGCCACTAAAAACAAAAATTATTTTATTGACATTGTTACGGACGTTTTGGGAATTTTATTTTCTAAAAAAAAAATATTAACAAGTTTTAACAAATTTGATTAAATGAGTAAAGAAAGTATAACTTTTACTATATACATCTTAAATGAATTTGTCAATTTTTCTTTGTTATTATTGAAAAACAACACAGAAGCTGGAACTTGATCATTAATAATGAAAGCATTGTATTTTCTATCAAATTGTTAATGTCATTCTGATTTGCTTGCTCTTTCGGATAATACATACCTTCATATAAGCTTTAGTAATGTTGTCATATTTTTTTTGATAAAAATATCAATTTTCATACAGTTCATACTGTTGAAAATGTAACTTTTCTATGGTTTATCTGTAGGCATTTAAAAAAGTGAGCGAACAACTTTGATGATTCATTTATGCGTTGGGTTAATTCTCGCATACCTACTATTCCTAATTGGTATCAACAGAACAAAGAACAAAGTAAGTTAAATGTGAATTGTTTTAAGCAAATTGTTACATGTGAATAGGTTATTGAACAATTGTTACTATCTTGCATTCTGTATCGTATTTGTAAAAAGACAGATGAAATAAGTTATGAGGTAAATGCATATATTTTAAAGGATGTCTGGACAGGGTACGTTCTACGGTCTAATACAAAAAAAGTAAATGCTCATTATTTCTGATATACAATCATACATGTAAAGGAATATTTGATAATAAATATAATTAATTGAATGTCTGTTTTACCACTAGGATCAATTATAACTTAATTTATAGAATCGTTTATATCTATTACAGAAACTTTGCACGGCAATAGCAGTATTTCTGCATTATATTTTCCTTGTTGTATTTGGTATAATGTTTGTACATGGAATCCAACTTGCCATAGCAGTACAATATGTTTTCAAGACGAAATTCAATTTGAAAACTCTTCTTGCCATAGCATGGGGTAAGCGATGTTTCCTTATTAAAATAAATATTATGTGTCACCTCTGTTGTATTTGTTATTTATATTGAAATCACGTTATACTTGACCAGACAAGATTGTGTACATTAACATCATGTCCGTTCTTTCAGGTTTACCAGCTGGTATTGTTGCCATTTCAATGTGCGCGTCAATGCTAGACGGCTATGGGAATAAGAATCTGTAAGATATTAAACATCTTTATTAGATGCATTATTTTAAATATATTTATATGAACATCTAAAGTGTTTTTATCCTTTTCCTTATTTTGACAGGGTCAAAGATAATACTTATACAAACGATCATCATTTAAGTGTTTCTTCCAAAGTTTTGGGATGTTTGTATAAAAAAATAACTTTCTATTTTACATAAAACTTATTTTTCCTTTTTATTTTTATAAATGGTATAGTAAAGTCTTCATGCAAATAATTTCAGATGCTGGTTAACGTCAGACAATGGGTTGATCTGGTCATTTGTTGGTCCAGCCATTGCTATTATTTCTGTGAGCGTGTTTTTTTTTATATTTTGTCTTTATTTTATCGTCCATCGAGTTTTTTAAAATAAGCAAATACAAATGGTGGTTTATGTGACTCCATTGAAATATGACTAATGCTCTAGACTCTTTAATAGTCTTTATGAATTTGATACTTAATTTCTTATTATATTATAGACATGTTGTAATTTCTGATTGTATTATAAACATACTACAAATACATCTGTATTTGATATAACAGTGTCACCATCCCGAACAACAAAGCTTATTTATGATGACTATATTGGTAATATTTATATATTTATGTATTTCTTTTCAAGTTCAATGCAATATGTCTATGTCTGGTTATACGTGCTATTATCGTACAAGAGCAGTAAAGATACAGCCAGTTGGCAAGAAAATAAAGTATGTTTGCTATTCTAGAAAAATGTTATCCTTGTTGGGCCAGCCTTTTTTATTGCATTCAGATATTGCTTTCTTTTGTTATTTAAATATTTACAAAGTTCCATCATTACATTTAATTAATTTCTTCAGGTTGAAATTGAAAAAAATATATATATCTACATCTAAAACATCTAAGTTTAAAAAATTTTAATATTAAATGCCCTTGATTGCCATGATAATTTGAATAACACAGTCGTTTTTAGTTTTTTTTATAGAACTATCTGTTTCTGTAATGTAAATTTAAACTTGTAATGATAATTTAAAGATGATAAAATATGTCACGTTATTGTTTTTATATAACTACGATTGCTGTTTTTAACGGTCCATTAATGCTTCAGAAATGCTATCACTTTTATTTCTCCAAAAACTTCTAAATTTTTGTATCTTGATTCAGTTTCCAAAAAGTAAAATACTCATTTGCCATATATTTGAGATACATTTTTACTTCTTTAGAAAGGACAAACAAGAATTTTATAATGTTTAAATAATTGTTTTAGAGAATATTAGATGTTTGTTATGTTATCTGAAGAAACTAGTGATAAATGTGAAATAATTTGTCATAAAAATAGCTAAATGAAAACAAAATAGTATTTTGACTTCCATACAAAATACTTATTAACTAAAATTACACTTATTGCCAAAAAATAACAGATGAAACAGATGGTCTAGGTGATCGGCCAACTAGAACTTTTTTGATACTATAAAAGTTCACCCAAATTAAAAAGCCTTTATACGGAATAAAAAAGCATTTCTGAGACATAATAGACCTTTTAACATTGAACATGCGCTAAGTCCATTACTTAAACATTATTAATCACATTTTTCACATCTAAAGAATTAAGAATATATGGATTTCTGAGGTATAATTTGCCTTTAAAATGATAATTAATATAAATTATTTAATTGTATTTAGAACAAGTATATGGGCACTGTGTGTAATGCTTCCACTACTAGGAATTACATGGATTGTTGGAATGTTTTACATGGGAGATAAGTCAGACTCTGTACAGTACATATTTGCAGTTTTTAATGGACTACAGGTTTGTTTATAGTATTTCCGTACATTTAAATAGGTTACATTGATTTTTACGAACTAATTATCATATTCTTAAGCGTGTATATAACAAAAAAGTACGAAATCCAAAATAATCAAATATTATCAAAAGAATTTGAAACGTAAAGTGCTTTAGTGATTAGTTTCTTCCAAGTCTATATAACACTTATATCTGTTCTATATGTTGAAAATAAGTTTGTAAAATGTTTTATAAACGTTTACATTAAAACAAACTAAACATACTTAGTAAGACAGCCATACTGATTATTCAGAAATGTTTGTTATTTAAGTTTACGACGCTTTGCTACTTTTATCTCAATAATAATTTCAAGGCATTATCCCCATTATGGATACTATAAGTAACTGATGAATTGACAACATAGGTCGGTTAAATGCAACAAAGGTCACGTGTATGCAAAATGTTTATGTAAACTTTAAACATAATTCACGGTAGGGTTTACCAGTTGTGTGGATAATACATTAGAAGGGTTATACCTTAAAACACAAGGATAAAAGATGAATGTGCCTTTCCAGGCAGTCTTCATTCTGTCTATATATCATTAAATGTAGCATTCACATTTAAATCATTTAAATGGATATAACTTACAACTATGATAACAAATTATTCTTAAACCTTTTTTTTAAATTTCCATGACATAGATGAACAATTAATTATATAACGACTTTAATTAATCTATGTACAAATATCATGCAAAAAGAAACTTTTATTTCTAATGCAAATTATATGAATTCAAGTGTTTGCCTCTCCAAAATGTGAATGTTTTTACTCGAAAATTTTGTCATTTGAATTTTACTTTGTATTGCACGTTACAATTGCTCAAGATAGAACATTACAGAATGTTAATAACACTCAGTTTTCTTTGAAATAATGTAATTAAATTCCCTGTATTTTCTATTGTTTTGATGTTTCATTATATTGAATAATCATACAATTTCTGTTCTTTTCCTTCGTTTCAGGGAGTGTTCATATTTATCTTTCAGTGCGTCCTAAATAAACAGGTAAATATTGAACTGATAACGTACACGTAGATCTACGTATACTTTTTATTTTATCATTTTTAATATTAAACATTGCTGAAATATATGTATAAATAAATGACTTGCACGAATAAGCTTATCATATAAACACATTTCAGAGAAAAAGAATTTTGTTATTTTGTTACTAAACGCATATTTGAAATATATGTTGGTAATGTAATACATAACACATTAGCATACTTTGTTCCTAACCTGTTCGAATGAACCGTTTAACCATTTTTTTTTTTTTTTTAAATTTTATTTATATCACCGTCCCCCACTGTTTTATTTGTACATGTTTTTGGTTGGATTTTACGTCTCGTCAACACAGCATAGGTCAGATGGCGACTTTCCAGCTTTATGGTTGAGGAACATCTTAGGTGCTCCTCCTTGCATTATTTCAGGCACAAAAGGGCACCTGAGTAGAATTACTGACGGACCGTTTTTTGTTAGTTGAGGTATTGTCCAGTTTGAAAGGACATCATTCTGTTTCATTGCAATTTTAAAAATCAGGTTAAAAAGGCAATGCGAGGAAATGAACAGAAAGAGAAAGTATCATCAAGAAAATTTACGCAAGAGGTGGTAGTATAAGTAAGTTCTATATTTAAAAAAATGATACCTGACATTCTAAAAATCTGATGGATGTTTAAAAAAGAGGAGAAATAATTCAATCATGCATATAGTAAAATATATATAAACACGATTTCTTTTATATAAACTACTTAGATCAAGACATGTTAATCAATGTTGAAAATTCAAAAATAAATGTAATGAAATTTATGTTTGTTTCAAACAAAACAAATTTATCGATAGCGTAATGAAATTTTAAGCAAACTTTGTAAACGAGACAACCTTAAATTTATTCTAGGTGACGCAAAAATCGACCACGGAAGATCTGTTTCATCGACAGAATGTCTACAATTGTCAAGTCTTTGAATTATACAAAGATGACGGTTTAATCACTTGAAAACTTTTAAATCAATATGGAAAATAATAATACAAGAAAGATCTTAATATAAAATCCTATTCGTCTAATTTTGTCGAGATGAAAAGACATTTAATAAAAATATATGCAGTTAAGTAGCAATAAACAACAAAATATTATAGGTGGGAAAATGTTGCTACAGCTACATCATGGAGATGGATCATATAGAAATGTATCTATCACAAATTTGTCTTTCAAAAAGAGCTCTCAAATTACATTTTTTATATATTTGATGTAAGTATGGCAATGAAACAAAAATTTCATTTAGAGCGTATTTAAATTTATTTTTATATTAAGCTATGATTTTGAATTTATAGAAGATTCTTTGAATTCTGATTTTAAGACTCAGTATTTATTTCTCAATTGTATGATAAATGCTTATCAAAATTAGCTTTGAATTCAAATGTATCGTGTGAAAAATGTTACGTCACTTTATTTTTAAGAATATTTAATATATACTAAATTTGGATCGCTTTTAATTTCCTAGATATCCCTTTAATGGTAAACCCAAGATAAGGATTTTTTTTATACATTCATGTAGATTATTCAAATGACATACCCGACCTGTTCAGAAGATGTTGTTATGAACTCATACCTGGCTTGATATCCACGGAAAGTTGATATTATCTATAACAAGGATGTGTCATCGGCAAGTTCCTTCATGTGTACATCGATTATATTCAAACTTTGCTTGTGCAAAGCTAATATTGTGTATGGCTTGGGAAACGCTTAATGAAATGTTGCTAGAATTTATTGCCCAACCCATTAGCTTTTTGTTATATACTCATCATTTGTTTCATATTTGACATGTATTTGATGCAATCAAATATGTTAACTTAACTACGAATAAGACGGCATAGTGACGCCGGAGAGATAAATAGGGGTACTGGGTAGCTTGAGGCAGAACGTTCCAGATGACATTTTGCAGTTGTCCTTATGGTGCCCTAGAGCACTGTTTCAAAGATGTTGGAACGGTTAAGAACTCGCGAAAATGGCAGGCATAGGCATGGTGGTCGTCGTGAGACGATCACAACTCGGCGTGAAGGTTGTTTTATTGTCCAAGCGCGACGTCAGCGCTTTGTACTGCATTGTCAAATGACTTGCTGAATACCACGGTTATTTGAATTTATACGCAAAAAATCCAAAACCGTTTTTAAAGATCTGGCATGTGAGCAAGACGACGAAAACACATCCAGTAAGTCTGCAATTGGCGCGCGCTCACGTCGGATGACGTTGAATGACTGGACCCCAGTACTGTTCACTAACAAACCCTGATTTTCTATGGACTTAACTAATAGACGAGTCCGTGTATGAAGATTTCTAATGAGCATTTTGCAACCGTATGCGTTGCTAATCATGACCGTTTTGGCGGGGCTCAGCCATGGTCTGGTCGGGTATTAGTATACAGAGACAAATAGACCTGTATATGGTTCAAAACAGCAATTGACGGCTGCACGATACATCATTGAGATCTTAGATAGGTATGTCTGACCATACGTCGGTCATTTAGGTCTTGATTTCATTTAATTTCATTTTGAATAATTCGGTAATGAAATTTTGTAATTCTACCAAAATATTGTTTCTTTGCTTACCACAAGTATCACTACATATCTTCAGAAGACACTTGATATAAAACCATATGGAACAGAAAGGTATGTGGCGGCAAAGCAGTAAGGACTCTAAAGTAAAAGAATAATTGGACAGAAATAGAATATGAGCATGTGATCATCAAAAGATAATCATTAACTTATATTTTAAAGTTGCAAAGCACTGTTTTTACAATCCATCTCATCATATTCATTAATGGCTCTTGATTTTTTACGGCGTCAACAGACTGTAGGATTTAGTTGTACAGCACCAGTAAGATATATGTTGTACAATTTTAAAGCAATACAGCACTTGCATTCAAACAGTAATTCTACATTGTAGGAATCATCCGGTTCCCTCAAAAACAGTTCCCTTTCAATTGCTCCCTTACATACTTGACTTTCTAAAAAATATTTTTTGTCCATGAGTAATAATTGAAACACCTCCATTTGTTTTTAAAAATGTTATTTTTTTTAATGTGCAGCCTGACCGAGACTCAAACCTGGGACCCTCGGAATACCTTACTGCGGTTCTACTGACTGGGCTATCCGGCCGCCTATTCTACAAACCACCTCCCCTGATTAGAGAACAATTCAATACCGTGACATAATCATTTTCAGAACAATTCGGGATTCGAACATACCACAATTTTGGGTCTCCTGAAGAGTTTTGCAACAGTTTTTTCCCTTCGTACTACTATGCCCTAAATTTTCTGGAATTTCATATCAAGGGATAATTGGGAAATTTGTCATCTGTCATCGTGGGAGGTCTCGACAACAAGTATAAAGAGACAGAAAATGTCTTATCTGTAAACCTAGTATTAAGTTGAAAGTACTCAAGAAAAAGTAGCCTTAACACAGTAAGATGTGCTTGTACATCTTAGTTTTAATTGGTGTTGTACTGCAAAATCCTACCGTCTGTTGAGGCCTTTACAAATACAACTGTTATTAATTTTTATCTTATTGATAAATTATTAACAGTTGATGTGACAAGTGTTGCGTAAATGATTGAATGTATATGTAGAAATAGAAAGATGTCTATACAAGTCCTTAATGAAAATGTGTACAATTCAAATAAATGTAAGAAATGCGGACTACTAAACAATTGACATCCCAAACGTTGTGTACATGTATATTTTATGGATATTAAGATGCATGTTAATCTCCAGGTATGAATGTTTTTTTTTATTTATATATTTTAATTAATATTTGTTTACAGAACATTCAAGCTATTAGTTATACCATTGTGCATTCATTTTTTCTTCTGGAAATATCAATATCAAAGAAAGACGATTGTAATAGCATTTAATTTGCGGCGATTCTCAGTGTTAAAATGTTCAATGATAATTGTTTTTAAAAGAAAAGAAAGGAAACTTCACTTTTAACAAAGGCAATAGATTAACCAATTAGATTAATTGATTTAAAGGATGTTATGACTGAAGAGTCGACACGCTTAACATCACCTAAATATAACATTGCATGGTTAAATGAAATAAAGATTATGAATGTTTCTAAAACCAGCGATCGGCTTTGTCAATACCGGGATAATAATAATAAACACTTGTTTATTGTTAAATATGTTCTTTTGTTTTATTCTGATTGACTATCAAATTGACGAATTTCATAAAATCAGATAACAATAGCAGAATATAGTTGATGTTAAATCTAACGGCTATAATTTATTAAATATTAATATTCAATTATGTGTCTCAAAGAATAATGTGTCCTGAATTATAATAGAATCAATAGGGATTTTAAATGATTTTGTTCAGTTAGTGGAAAATTCTCATCAAATAAAGATTTGTATCAATCAATAAGCTCAAAATCTATTTCATCTCACATTATCCATTCATTTTAAAAGAATGTATAAATTTCATAAACTCCATTGTTTTTAGCTAATTGCATCATTTCCACGCGTTTTTACTTTCTCATATTATAGAAACATGATAGTCTTAAGGCCTCAACAGACGGTAGGATTTAGTTGTACAGCACTTATTAGAAATAAAATGTAGAATTTTCAAAGCCATACAACACTTGCGTTCAGACGGTAATTCTACACTGTAAGATTCATCTGAGGTTTCCCATAAAAAGGACCCCTTTACATTGATCCTTTACATACTATACTCACTAAATACTTTTTTTCGCCAGGAGTAATGATCGAAACATCTCCATTAAAAATATAAATATAAATATTTTAATGTGAAGCCTGGCCGAGACTCAAACCTGGAACCCTCGGAATACCGTACTGGGGCTCTACTGACTAAGCTATCTGGCCGCCTACAAACTACCTCCCCTCCCCTTATTAGAGAACAATTCAATACCGTGGCATAATCATTTTCAGAATAATTTGGGATTCAAACATAACACAACTTTGGTTCTCTTGAAGAGTTTTTCAACATCATTTTTACCCCATCTTACTACTATGTTTACCTTTTAGCCCTAATTGTTCTGGAATTTCAATCATTACACCCATTATCAGGAGATAATTTGCTTATCATTGTGGGAGGTATGTAAAAATCTGTACGACAAGATTTTCAAAATAGAACATGTCCTATCTCTTACATCTAGACTTAAGGTTTCCGGAATCAAGAAATAGTAGCATTCACACATTAAGATTTGTCTGTACATCTTAGTTTTAATTTGGTGTTGTACTTCAAAATCTTGCCGTCTGTTGAAGCCTTTAGCATAGACAAAGGTATAAATTCTGGACAATCTTAATGAGACATTTCAGTAAAACATGTGCCTGATTATATTTTGAAAGTATTTATTTAGCTTATCAAAATGTGACATTTAAGAATTTTGACTAGGCGTATATGCGGCTTTAAGCAATAGTCAGTACACGCAGTACTCAACAATATAGCATTTACTATTTAAGTAGTTACACATTAACAGTGGAACTTTATAATAATGTAAAGTACTCAGTGGAATATATAGTGGGGATGGTTTTGTTTCGAACTCAACGAGTTTATAACCCTTTAAAGACCCAGTATGCTTTTATTTGTATTTTTAAAAAAGCTTTAAAATTTTAATTTTGTTGTACTTCTATAGAATCTAAAAGGTTACTCATCGGCCAATTACCAGATTCTTTTATTTTCATCTGTTGCTTTTCGGCAATAAGTACAGATATAGTAAATTAGTATTTTATGGAAATCAAAAAATACGTTGTTTACATTTTGTTACATTTATGACAAATTGTTTCACATTCATCTATAGCATTCTAAAAAACATACCATTATTTAAACCTTATAAAATTTATGTTTACCCTTTCTAAAAAAGTAACTTTTACATATTTTGAAGCATAATGTGTCCTCAAGTGAAAACTCAATATAAAAAAATGACTCTCTATCACACCTGAAATATCAAAAAGTATACCCTCTGTAATAAGATTTCTCTTTTGAAAAAATCCTCTGGCAACTGTGCTCGCAAAAAAAATCTTTAAAAAAGTTATTGATAAGCTTAATAGTGTATTTATAAAAATCATTTATAGTCCGATCGAGAAACTTGATAATTCACCCGAACTTTGCATTATATCAACAGTTCTTTGAAAAGAAATATTTACTGCATTTTATATAACTACTTCATTATTTAAAATGGTGTTCAATGTGGCACTAAAACCTATCAAGTAAATGGCTGACAGAACAGGATATTTTCGGAACAGCGTTATTTTTAGGAATACGTACTGCATGTATAGTACTTTGTAATATGGACACAATATTTTACGGAAGTCCTGGAGAGACATTTATTAGTTTAAAAATTATAACTTATTATTTCAAAGCTATTAATTATTATTTAGCACTAATGCCCTGTCATTTATAATTTATTACTAGTACCTATAAATAATCAACTGCC